ATCTTGCGCGTATGTGCCGAGTAAAAGGGCTGACCTTGAGGGCATCTGGATGCCGGTTAGCATAAGGATATTGTTTTCCTGGGTTCAACATGGGCAACCCATCCCTGATTTAGGTTAGATTAGGTTTTTGTATTTTTTTTAGTTTTTCTATTTTGGTAAACTTAGCTAGGGTGTGTTTGCTCATTGGACCCCTTTTATTTCTGTCCCCCCTTTTTTTTTTTCTATTCCTTTAACTCCCCTTCCCCTCCCTCGTTTTAGGTGGTCAGTGATGTCAGTTCTCTGGTAGATGCGGGGCGCCTTTCGTTTCGTGTGTGTGTTTTTCGTAATTGTTGTTGTGTATGAATGAGTGTGTGCCAGTGTGAATGCTTGGGAAGAATGAGTGTGGCCTTATTTTCATAAGTCCCACATCGATTTCGTCCGGTTAACTGATATTTCTGCCACTTTCAAGAGTTTGTGGGGGTTTTTATTACTAACTCTAATTTTATTTGGTTTCTTGTAAATATATTTTGTCATTTTGTAAATATTCATTGGTGATGTTTTTAAAAGTTGTTGTTTTTTATGCCCCTCCCCCACAGACAATATTTGTACATAAGGGGATTATTTAGGTTTTTCATGGAGTCAAAGTGGCATTTTGGTGTATGTAGTAAGAAAGGTATGGATAAATGTGTTGTTTTGGTGAAAGGAATATTGTTCAGTATGATAGGGTCAGTGGATGTGGCTAGCTAAGTTTTAATTTAAGACAAGTGATGACCGTCCTTTACCCCAACCCCCTTTCCGGCCTTGTGCCACATTTGTACATAGTGCAATAAATAATGAGCCAGACCTCCGAGTCTAGCTGTTGTGATACAGTTTTTGACTGTAAGTGACGACTGTCGAACTCTCTGCGTTAGCAGAGAGGAACCCGGACGAAGCTTTGCCGAAGGGCAAGGTTTCGTTCGGGGAGGTAGACAGGACCTGAATCTGTCAATGCGGTTCTAAAAAGGCTATATTTCTGGCCGAGCCTACGGGCTCGGAGATACCCACATTAAACCGGCCTTGTGCCATATTCAATCCTTGTGGGTGGGTTGATAAATAGCGAGAAAGACCTCCGAGTTTAGCTGTCGTGATACAGTCTTTGACTGTATGCGACGTCTGTCGAACTCTCTGCGTTAGCAAAGAGGAACCCGGACGAGGCTTTGCCGAATGGCAAGGTTTCATCCGGGGAGGTAGACAGGGCCTGAACCCGTCTAGGCGGGTTCAAAGGCTATATTTTTGGCCGGGCCTACGTGCTCGGGCTACCCACATTAAACCGGCCTTGTGCCATATTCAATCCTCGTGGGTGGATCGATAAATAGCGAGCAAGACCGAAGAGTCGAGTCCAGAGTGACAGAGTAAAAGGTTGTAGGTAACCGGAAGAGTGAGGGTGTGGTAACAGCGTTCTGGAGTCACAGTGAGCGAGCACGTAGACTCAGTAAGAAGTCATACAGCGATACTTTAATACCAAAGATTATATATATATTTTGCTACTAACCCGTATTCCTGGAACTACTAACCTGCATTACCAGTTTCTATTATTACGTTAATACATTTATTTTCCTATATTCATTCCTGGCGTTTGTTATTTATTGGTACCGGATTTTAAACCGGAATCCACAACAATTTAGATTTCAAAATTTTTCGAAAAAAAGAGGCTCTAATCTAATGACATAAAAGAATCACTAAAATAAAGCCTGAAGTTTTATTAAAAACTTACATTTTGTAAAAAAAAAAAAAAAAAAAACTCATGTCTTATAATCTTAAACCCCGCCAAAATAAAGTTTTTGAACAGGGGTAATTTAAGGATATTGTATTTATGTTTTTTGAACCAGTTAGGAAAGTAAGTTACGTCTACGTGAGTTTCAAATTTTAGATTGAATGTGAAGCCGATTTGTGGCTATTTAAGAAGTCTGATTGGTCTAAGAACGAGAAGGTTTTTCATTTTCACAAGTGAATGATAGTGAGCTGTTTCCGGAAAGGAAGAGACAGAAAATGAAAGAAGCAGAAAGAAATAGAAAGCAAAAGAAAAAAGAAATGAAAAGCAGAAATAAAAAAAAAAAAAAAAAAACAGAAAAAAGAAAATTCGACAAATTTAGAGAGATATATGTTTATCTTTCTATAGTTATTTTTGAAATTTTGTCACAAAACTAAAAGCATTAAACCTGATTTGGGACTTTTATGAAAACACGAAATTTATCTCGATTTTTAAATATCAGTTTAAAAATGGTAATTTGCTAAGCGTAACTTAGATGCGGCACAAGACCGAAAGCCTCGGGATTCCAGGGAGAATCGAACTCACTACTCAGTCGTATTTTTTCTAGCGAGACAAGCTTGTTAACCATTACACCAATGTCAAGCAATTGCCTATACGTTACCCAGCGACGCTTCTGAACTCTTTCTGGTAATTGAATGAATGGAATTAAGTGTATATTTTGTTGAAAATTATAATTCTTTTCATGAGCCGAACAGAATTGTAATTTAGAACTTGTTATCTTGCCTAAGTGTAGCGCACAAAGGAAAGTTTAGTTTGTTTAATTTTGTAGTCTGTGCTACTATTATTTTGTATGTCATTTAATAAATATAAATGTCTTTTAAATTTCATACCGGAGCAAGTGTTTTATGTTTTTCATTTGCGGCTTCCATAATAATCGGGATAAAAGGTATGACGTTCTCTCTTCTCCAACTCCCCTCCACAAAAATCATTTTATTGTGTTTTTATTTAATTTCAAACTTAGGCCAGTAGAAAATTGGCAAAATATCCTAAGCTACATCTTTCTTTCTTTCTTTCTTTCTTTCTTTGTCTGTCTATCTGTCTTTCTTTCTTTATTTATTTATTATGCCCGTCTCTATTTCTTTCTTCTTTTGCCCCTCTTTCTTTCTTTCTTTGTCTGTCTATATGTCTTTCTTTCTTTCTTTCTTTCGTGGTCACTCTCTTTTTCTTTTTTTCTTTCTTTCTTTCTTTGTCTATCTGTTTTTTTTTCTTTCTTTTTTCTTTCTTTCTTTATTATGCCCGTCTCTATTTCTTTCTTCTTTTGCCCCTCTTTCTTTCTTTCTTTCTTTCTTTTGTTTTTCTTCTTTTCTTTTCTTTCTTTCTTTCTTTACAAGAGGGAATATTCATTAGAAATACGAAAGAAAGAAAAAGAAGAAAAATTCTCGCGTTTCTCTTTCTTTCCTTCTTTATGTAAATCTTGTTCATATTCTTTCTTTCTTTCTTTCTTTGTCACTCTCTTTTTCTTTTTTTCTTTCTTTCTTTCTTTCTTTTTTCTTTCTTTCTTTATTTTTATACCTTCTCTATTTCTTTCTTTCTTTGTCCCTCTTTCTTTCTCTCTCTCTCTCTTCCTTTCTTTTTGTTTGCTCCCACTCCTTCCTTCCATCCTTCTTTCCTCTGTTTGCCCTTCTTTCTTTCTTTCTTTCTTTCTTTCTTTTTCTGTTATTACATATACGGACATTACACGTATTGGTAGGCACAGATTTAAATGAAAAGAACATCGGAGTGAGAGATGAAGGTCGAAAGAGAAAGAACATGAAGGTTGTCGCCTGAAGAAATGGAAGTGATGTATCTTGAGAGGGGAAAAAAAAGGTTGTCAGTGAGACATTAGCGTAAACTGGGGGAAGTGGGGGGTCAAAAGTAGTGAAAAAAAAGGAAAGAAAGGAAGTAACAAAAAAGAAGTTGAGTGAGAAACAACAGCGGTTCAAAGAAAGAATGAAACTAAGAAGAGAGGAGGGGAAACAAAAGGAAGGAAGGAAGGATAGATGGAAACAAGCGAAAGAAAGAAAGAAATGGAAGGAAGGAAGGAAGGGAGAAAATAAAAGAAAAAAAGAAGTACACAGAGGACTGAAAGAAAGAAAAGGCAAAAAGGAAGGAAGGACGGAGAGGTAACAAACAAAAGAAAGAAAGAAGGAAACAAAGGTGGGAACGGAGGGTGGATGAAAGAAGAATGTGCATAGAAAGATAGAAAGAAGACCAAGACAAAGAAAGAAATAAAAAAGGAGAGAGAGAGAGGGTTAAAGAAAGAAAGAAAGATGGCAAAGAAAAAGAATGAAGCAAGGAAAGAAGGAAGGAGGGGGAGCAAAGAAAGAAAAGACAAAAAGGAAGGAAGGAAGGAGAGGTAACAAACAAAAGAAAGAAAGAAGGAAACAAATGTGGGAACGGAGAGTGGATGAAAGAAGAATGTGCATAGAAAGATAGAAAGAAGACCAAGACAAAGAAAGAAATAAAAAAGGAGAGAGAGAGAGGGTTAAAGAAAGAAAGAAAAAAAAGATGGCAAAGAAAAAAGAATGAAGCAAGGAAAGAAGGAAGGAGGGGGAGCAAAGAAAGAAAAGACAAAAGGAAGGAAGGAAGGAGAGGTAACAAACAAAAGAAAGAAAGAAGGAAACAAAGGTGGGAACGGAGAGGATGAAAGAAGAATAATGCATAGAAAGATAGAAAGAAAGACCAAGACAAAGAAAGAAAAAAAAAGGAGAGAGAGGGTTAAAGAAAGAAAGAAAGAAAGAAAGATGGCAAAGAAAAAGAATGAAGCAAGGAAAGAAGGAAGGAGGGGGAGCAAAGAAAGAAAGAAAGAAAGAAAGAAAGAAAAGACAAAAAGGAAGGAAGGAAGGAGAGGTAACAAACAAAAGAAAGAAAGAAGGAAACAAAGGTGGGAACGGAGGGTGGATGAAAGAAGAATGTGCATAGAAAGATAGAAAGAAGACCAAGACAAAGAAAGAAATAAAAAAGGAGAGAGAGAGAGGGTTAAAGAAAGAAAGAAAGAAAGAAAGATGGCAAACAAAAAGAATGAAGCAAGGAAAGAAGTAAGGAGGGGGAGCAAAGAAAGAAAGAAAGAAAGAAAAGGCCAAAAGGAAGGAAGGAAGGAGAGGTAACAAACAAAAGAAAGAAAGAAGGAAACAAAGGTGGGAACGGAGGGTGGATGAAAGAAGAATGTGCATAGAAAGATAGAAAGAAGACCAAGACAAAGAAAGAAATAAAAAAGGAGAGAGAGAGAGGGTTAAAGAAAGAAAGAAAGAAAGAAAGAAAGAAAGATGGCAAAGAAAAAGAATGAAGCAAGGAAAGAAGGAAGGAGGGGGAGCAAAGAAAGAAAGAAAGAAAGAAAAAGAAAAGACAAAAAGGAAGGAAGGAAGGAGAGGTAACAAACAAAAAAAAAGAAAGAAGGAAACAAAGGTGGGAACGGAGGGTGGATGAAAGAAGAATGTGCATAGAAAGATAGAAAGAAGACCAAGACAAAAAGAAAGAAATAAAAAAGGAGAGAGAGAGGGTTAAAGAAAGAAAAGAAAGAAAGAAAGAAAGAAGGAAAAAAAGAAATAAGAATGCTAAGAGAGGGTCAAAGAAAGAAAGAAGAAAAATGTTGTAGTTCGGGTGACAGAGGGAAATGTCTATTTGTGTCAGTGAAAGTAAATGGACACTAATTTGATAAATTCCTGATTTAGGACGACATTTGTTTCTCTGCACACAATGTCGCCCAAATGACAAGAACAAAGTGGTAGCAATTTATTCCGCACCTTATTCTACATATTTAAACAGGTTACATTACAGAGAGAGAAGCGGGGTGGGGGCGTTGGAGGTAGTGGAGGAGGATAGATAGATAGATAGATAGATAGATAGATAGATAGAATGGAGGTAGGTAAATAAAACGACTGGGAATGGAAGAGAGAAATTAAGAGTGAAAGAAATAACGATTCTAAGGCGAAGAAAGAAAGAAAGAAAGAAAGAAAGAAGTGTTAAAAAAGAAAGCACAAATAAATGATAGAAAAAACAAAGAAATAAAAGAGCTATAGAAACGAAGAACATAAAATGGAAAAAAAAAAGAAAGAAAGAAAGAAAGAAAGTGCACTTAAGAAAGAAAGAAAGAAAGAAAGAAAGGAAAACATGCGACGAACAACAGCTGACTGCTACTGATGGTTGTAATGGCATCGGACATAACTTGAATGGGGACACAGAGTGGTGGAATCTCTAGAATTATGGAAGGTCAAAAAGCGCAAAACAAATTGCCACGTCAACAGTAGATATTAAAATAAACAGTCCAAAGTAACAGGGGCACTGTAGACGGATATAATCTTTCATTTATAATTTTAGAGTATATTATTCAGGGCAGAGATGAAATAGTTGGCAGGGATAAGAAAAAACATTTCAATGAAATACGAAGATAAATGTATCTTCGAGTTATGAAGTATCTGGAGTAAATGGTAAAATAACGCTGCCAAGCAAGATTCATTTACCCTACTGACGAAATGCACATCTATTAGGTTGGTGCAAAAATAATGACGTAATAATGTCGTTTTTGACGTTACGTCAAAAAACGACATTATTACGTCATTATTTTTGCACCAGCCTAATACTAACTTTATCTTCGGAAACGTAAACAAACGAATTTCTACGGAATTAATGAATATTATTTTTATAATCTGACATTATTTATGATTTAAAACGTTTGTGGGTTATCCCACTTGAGTCAGCCAAAAAAAAAAAAAGAAAAAAAAGACGCTAGGGGGCATTCCTTAAATTTATAAAAAGGCGAGCATTTCTCTCCCTAGCCTCTTTTACATCTTTTCTATTTTGCTCTTAAGATGTTGACATATGTCGGTAAAGTGTCCCCTACTAGGGCACATTCTTCATTTTCACGGTTTTCTCTCTTCATTCTACACTCTCTAAGACACGCTTGTTACGCGTGCAAGCAAAAAAAACAAACAAACACACACACACATATATATACACACACACACATACACACAAAGAAACAAACAAAGTACATTCAATGTCTGTCTATATTTCTGAAATGAGGTATTATGTTTTACATTATTCGGTCTATTGCCCCCATCATTGTTGCCATATTTATCACAACGTTTCGGCCGTTGTACGCCCAGACCTTCTTCAGGTGGTTGAAATGTCGAACTGAACCCTTTATTTCGCTCGCTGGAGTAGACTGGTCTAGTTCCACGTGCCATGTCTAATGGATGTCAGTTATCAGTTATCTCCTGTTAATTCCCCTCTCCAAGTTCTCCATCGCCTTAACCACGTATTGAACTCACACTCCTTGGGTCCTGTCACTGGATCTAACTAATGCCTTTATCCACTGTGCCATGTGAACTTGAGGAAAACAAGGGGTTCAATTTGACATTCCAACCACCTGAAGAAGGCTGGAGCGTACAACGGCCGAAACGTTGTGATAAATATGTCAACAAAACGAGGACAACAGTCCGAGTAATGTAAATAAAGTACATTCAAACTGTAACTAGATGAATGTTTTACCGTTCGTCACATGTTATTCGTTGTGTAAATATGTGCATTGTCGTTTGTGTTACATTTATTGTTTTATGATATACTTTTTTAGTTGAACTAATATTGAGTGAGCAAATATTGTTTGAGGGATAAATATTCAATGGAGCCCATAGATATTTATTATCCTAAATATTGATTGAACACAACATAATGGTGGATAAATATCTAATACAAAGATACTAGCATCCTGCAACACGCTATATTTAGTTGACAAACGTGTTTGGGCAGATACAGCTCTATCTTTTCAACAGTGTGAAGTTACGTCTACCGGCTTCTTTGGAGAGCCATTATCGTTCACCTCCTGATGGGACGTGAAAATTTACAGATAATAAAAGAAGGAATCAGTGGAGTGCCATGAACATCTAGTTAGTGTACTCTAGAGATATTGCGCAGCTTCTGCACAAAATTGGAGCGGCACGGTACGAATCCAAAGACTGGACACTGTTCATTGGCAGCAGCAAGCGATCACTGAAAATTGTTCTGTTGCACAACAGCAACCAGTTTGCCTCTGTATCCCCACGTTCCCTTGAAGGTGAAATATGAATCCGTGAAGTGCTGGAGAAAATGCATTAAGATCAGCATGAATGGATTGTGTTGATCTGAAGATGGTGAATTATTTGTTGGGTCACAAGTCTGGGATCATCAATTACCCATGATAATCAGTGCATGTGGGATAGTAGGAACATTGTTTAGCATTACACGAAAAAGGACTAACCTATTCGGGAGGAATTGTTGCCCTGCAGAGCAACAAACGTCATCCATAAGGTGGAACTGAGACAGGAGACTTTTTCCACCGTTGCACATTAAGCTCGGCTTGATCAAGCAGGTCACCAAATCTCTGGACAAAGATGGTGGTTGCTCCTCCCCTTACTTGTGCCAGGCTTTTCCAGGATTGACGATGGAGAATCCGTAAGCAGACATCTTTGATGGTCCTCAAATCCGTCTGCTTATCAGAGATCCAAAGTTTGAAAACTCAATATCCGAAGTGGAACTGGAAGCATGGAAAGCTTTTGTTCTGGTCGTGAAGAACTTTCTTGGAAACAACAAAGCCAGAAACTCCCCAGAACTTGTCATCAATATGCTAACTGCTTTCAAAAAACCTCGGATGCAACATGAGCAGCAAAATGCATTATTTATTCTCACATATGGATAGGTTCCTGGGATCAATGAGCGAAGAACAGCGGGGAGGGATTCCGTCAGGACATGAAAGAGATGGAGACCAGGTATCAGGGACGCTAGGATGCAGTCATGATGGCTAATGACGGCTGAAGTTTGAAGAGAGACACACCTGCCACTAACCATTTTAGAGGTTCGAATAAACAGAATTTGAAGCCCTGAATTTTGTACAATTATGATGCAACATGCAATTTACATGTACTTACATTTATCAATGTATATTGTAATCGATGTTTGTAATATTTAATTAATAGTGTCAGAAAACGCTTTTTTCTCTCTTAAAAACTTATTTCGTGTGAGAAATATTAACAAAATTCAATCGATAATGTCACAAAAATGTAATCGATTTAGTCAGATCAGACTTTTAAAAACTCAACTTAATAGACAACTTAATTTTTTGTTGTTGCCCAATGTAATAAAGTAAAGGAATATGTGGAGAGCCATGATCGTCTGATGGGACATGGCAATTAAAATATGTTAAAGGAAAAATATAAATATAAGTAATCTGTGGTGAGCCAGGAACATCTAGATCCTGATGGAACATGACAATTCGCAGATCATAATGAAAAGGTATTTGTGGAGAGACATGATTTTCTGTAGATGGCAGTTTACATCTATGGAGAGTCATGATCATGTACATCCTAATGGAACATGGCAATCCATGGATAATAAATGAAAGGTAGCTGTTGAGAGCCATGATCGCTTACATACTGGAATGCCATATATGACCTAAAATCTACAATTTTTTTTCATCTTTGCGTTGGCATTCATGGATCTCCACAACTTTTTTCTCTTATCGCTCTTAGCAACGTTTTACACTTCCCATGTCTTTTTCTCACCATTCACGTATTTTTTCTCTGCTCCTTCAATATGTCTGTGAGTGTGATATTCTCCCAGCCTTCTTTCCTCAAATCAATTTCCAAACATTTCATTTCACTCTTTCTGACTTTAAGTATAATTTTATTCTGCATTCCCTGTCATGTAGGAGATTAGACTTTATATATAAGTTCAAACTGTTTTTTTTTTTCTTTTGTTTTGTTTCTAACAAAGTTTTCCATTTTCTTAATACTCTGCTTATCTTTTTGGGGGCATCTTTCATAATTTCTTCTTCTGCTCCTTCAAATTTCTGTTGTCCACTTTCCATCATCTGTTCCTTCGTTAAGTTAATCTGCCCCAGATATATGTATATATGTGTATGTATATATGTGTACGTACGAGGGTCATTCAATAAATAAGGTGAATTTTTCGGTATAAGGACTTCTAATACAGATAGAAGCTTACTTTTTTTTTTAAACGTAGTCTCCCAGCACTGTCACACACTTTTCCCATCTGTGCACAAGCTTCCGTATTCCCTCAGCGTAAAAATCTTTGGACTGATGTCTCAGCCAGTCGCTCACAACACTTTTGACTTCATCGTCACTTTTAAACTTCGTGCCTCTCGTGAACGCTTTCAAGGGACCAAACAGGTGAAAGTCTGAAGGGGCAAGGTCTGGGCTGTAAAGGGGGATGAGGGAGCAGTTTCAGCCCAGTTCGTTGATGGTCTGCACCGTTTGGGCTGCTGTGTGAGGCCTTGCGTTGTCATGATGCAAGATGACTCCTTCTGACTGATGACCCTGCGTTTGTTCTTTATGTCTTTCTTGACCTGCCTCAGCAGTTCACGGTAGCTCTTCTGTCAGACTGAATGAGGTCATTGACTGATTCGATCATCTCAGGAGACCTCACTTCTGTAGGCCTCCCAAGCCTGTCTTCATCCTCAACACTGCTCCGTCCTTCTTTAAACAATTTAGCCCACTTGTAGACATTTTTTTGGCTGAAACATGTGGCACCATACACAGTTGACATTCTCCTATGAATTTCAACTGGTTTGCACCCTTCAGCAACCAAACATTTGATAACTGACCGCTGTTCAATCCTGGAGCATGCTTATTGGTCGGCCATCTTTGTTAATCGCCAAAACTCTCAAAGTCTTTTTTAATCTGCAAAAGAAATTAAATCCATGTGAAAAAGAAGTAAAATAAAAAAAAAGTAAGCTTCTATCTGTATTAGAAGTCCTTATACCGAAAAATTCACCTTATTTATTGAATGACCCTCGTATATATGCATATGTGTATATGTATATGGCAATGGTAAGAATTATCCGTTTCGGCATTCGACTGGACATCCAATTACGGCTGTCTGTTGGAATAGAGAAAGTCTTAAGAGATTTTCTACAGTTCTTCAGGAAAATAGTTCTCTCAATTCCACTAGCACTTAACACTTTTTCTAGTACTGATCGAAGTTTCCTCCCTAACCTTTTGGTCGGAGTAGTTATATCATTATTTTCACTTGGAGTTACATCGTGGACATTTGGATTATGGCTTTTTTGACAATCCTCAAATTATATAGTTTCCATTATTTGTTATCGTTCATAAATCATATGGTGTTTTCTAAGCGTAGCTTAGATGTGGCACGAGGCCGAA